GGGGAATAAAGGAAGAGATTGTGGGAAGAAAAGAACAAGGAATAATCTATTCTTTTAAAGTCTTGAAGACCAAAAAGAGAAGATTATTGAATACTAATTGATACACACTTTAATTTAATACATTTACTAAAACAACAACTTTTTGGTGTGAAATTAAAAGTAAACAAACTTAAAAATATAGTTATGCATAAATAATGTAGAAATTACTCAATTAATTATATTTATATTATATTTTAATTGATGAATCAAGATGAGGATAAAAAGTGTGTTGAACTTAATGTATGCCAATCATTTTCCTATTATTATTATTATTATCATCATCATCGAATAAGTATTTTACAAGATGAATTGTATATTAAAAGTGCAGTCTGTGGTATGAATTTATTAAAATACTTTTAATTTTATAAAATAGATTACACTTTTAATATACAGTAAAACTAAAAAACATAAATTCCTATTATTATTATTATTATTATTATTTTGTTTCATGGTTCCAAAAGGAGACAAAATGGAGAAGAAAAAAGAGGCTGAAAATAGAGAGTATAACACTCAAACTCAAGTTTCTCATTAATAAGTTGTTGATATTATTATTATTATTATTTTGTTTCATGGTTCCAAAAGGAGACAAAATGGAGAAGAAAAAAGAGGCTGAAAATAGAGAGTATAACACTCAAACTCAAGTTTCTCATTAATAAGTTGTTGACACCCCACTTAAAATTTCAAAAATAAATAAATTATATTTTAAAATTTAAGTTTTAATGGTTGAAAATAAGAGTTTTCACTCGTTTAAAATTATAATGTGTGACAAATTATTTAAAATAGTCTATGGAGAGATTGAAGCCCAAGAATATAATTAGGAGTGAGGGGGCATACACATACCTTTCAATCTTCGGTATAAATACAGTTGCATGCTTTGACATTTGAAAAATTATTTCAACTTATAAAACATTCTTTTAAGTTCACGGCCTTAAATGAATGAATCAAACATGCTCAGGTATGTTTGTGAAAATTAAAAGTTTTGGGTCAAGATGCCAACGGACTTGCTAGGCTGTTGGGCTTTAAGGAAGTCTGGCCCATTTCATTTTAATCCTTTTGTTTTTTCCAGCAACCCAAAAATAAAGTCAATAAATAAGGGAGAGTAAGCCAGAAACCGGTGGAATTCCAGATTCCAGCCGGGTAAAATGCAGCTTTCCGATGAAGGTCTACGCAGTTCCAACCCATATAAACTTTAATTTTTCTTCCCACACATTCCCCTGTATTTTTCCTACCTTTACTTTTTAAGATCCACTTGACATCTTTCTTACTAACTTTTTCCTCTACAAAAATTAAGAGAAATTGTTTGGAAAGAGATGAAATATCCCAGAAAATTATCAACGTATTGCACAGTATTTATTAACTTTATTATGTAGTGCTTATTAACTTTTCGAACACTACTTTCTGTGATCCCAGAAAAGTTAATCCTCTATCCGAACAGCCCTCAAACTAGAACAAAAATCAACGTTTCATTTCAATAATTCTACTGAAATTACATAATGATCAAAAAGAAAGAACAAAGGAGGAAAATTGTTACCTAAAGCTTAGGGATTCCCTCTTCTATCCGTGAGCCTTTCCTCTTCTTCTATCCAGAAATTAA